TGCATGTAAATTAATAAACCGGTGAGCAAGCCAATAATAGGCCTTCACTCAAAAACAATAAATAAATGAACCAAACACTGGGTGTTCATGCTTGTAATCCGAGCTAATCAGAAGGCTGAGATCAGAGAATCAGAGTTCAAAACCAGGCCCTGGCAGAAAGAACATGAGACACTTATCTACAATTAATTACCAAAAAGCCAGAAGTGGAGGTATGGCACAAATGGTAGCACACCAGCACTGAATGAAAAAAAAAAAAAAAACCCACTAAGGGACAATGCCCAGATCCTGAGCTCAAGCCCCAATATTGACACACACATGTGTATCCACGCACAAACACACACATAATTTAAGTGAATTAATTAATTTCTCAACTTTAGCCAAATTCTCAAATCTGAATATAGATAATAACCCAGTGACAAGAACCTTCTAGACAGCTCCTTCTGGTTATTACTCAAAGGCCTCATTTCATCAAAGCCAAATAAAATTATCCATCCCATCGTATTCTTCAGTAACTTGTAACTCTAGCCTGACATTTTCATCTTGTGTATGCCTAGATTCTGATTCTAAAACCATCTATAATCTTCCCTAATCTTGACCCTCTCCCCCCTGCCCTGAATGGGTCCATATCAACAGGGCATTAGATCCACACATACTGTCCACCAGTGCCTGGTCGCCGGTCATGATCTCTGACCTATATGGCCGCAGAATCATCTAATCACCTTCCCTCTGCCATTCTTACCAAGTGTACGTCACTCCTCACAATGTCATCAGCTAGATTCCTACAGAGCAGAGATCTCAGCACCTCTCTCTTGCTCAACATTCTTTGTGACTTCTTTCTAGTGAGAGCAGGTTAATATATAAAACACTTAGTGGGCACACAAGACCTGCTACACTCTACCCCATTCAGCTCCCAAGTCTCCAAAGAATCCATTTTTCTCTTGCCAAAACCCTCTGCGGAGGAGTAAGACCTACCCACCTTGTGGCAGGATAATGAAACATAAATCCACAAATCCAATATGATCATCCATGCTTAACAGAAAGGGCATGTGGCCTAGCATACTCCCAGAAACAAATCTTCATCTTCCACTGCGCTTCCAAACTCTCCTCAGTCAAAATCTGCCCATGATCCACTTTAAACTGAATAGAGAATAAACATCACGACTCCTGGTGGCCTTACATATGCTTGTCACAAGACATAAAGCAAAATAGTCAGTGACTATGTCATCTAAGTAGTTGTTTTATCTACACCCCTGTGAATAGATCACCAATACACATGGTCCCTGCTCCATCTTGCATGGGGCATATAGCCAAACCATGCCAGCACACCACCAACACACACCAATACACCACCAGCATGCCACCAGCACAACACTGACCAATTTATTTCATAATTTCAAATGTTTCCATATATTCCCTTTTTCAACATATACCTTCCTATTTCCAAACAAGGTTCCATTGCAATCATTGAAAAAGTGAGAATCAGTAATATGCAACCTTAAAGAAAAATTAAAATGCCTTTGTCTCAGAAATAGTCAGCCACGGAATAAGTCTCTCCCAATTGTCTATCTACCTAATTGATGCTGAAAATAAAGATATAGAATGCTTAAAAAAGAATGCTTCATCTGGGCGCCGGTGGCTCACGCCTGTCATCCTAGCTACTCAGGAGGCTGAGATCTGAGGATCACCATTCAAAGCCAGCCTGGGCAAGAAAGTCTGTGCAACTCTTATCTCCAATAAACCACCAGAAAACCAGAAGTGGTGCTGTGGCTAAAGTGGTAGATCACTCACCTTGAGCTGAAGAGCACAGGGACAGTACCCAAGCCCAGAGTTCAAGCCCCATGACTGACAAAAAAAAAGTAACACACACACAAAAAAAAACAGAATGCTTCAGAATTCCAAGCATTTAATGAAAGAACAAAGAAATGAGAAATTGTACAAATCACCAACATGTACAATGCAAACATAGGTACAAGGTAGCTTAAGATAAACAAGGAAATCTCAGTGGGCTCATAGCAAATGCTGTCTTTAATATCCTATACAATCCCAGATAATCTTAGTAATATGAAGTTATTTCTGGGAAACATTACTGAAAACATTATATTTTAATTTGAGTTGGCAGCCATTTTCTTGTTGGTATTTGCCCTATGACAAGTAATTTTGGTCTTAGTTGTCTTTATTTAAAAGATTCTCAATGAGCCAGGTGCCTGTGGTTCACAACTATGATCTCAGCTACTCAGGAGACTAAGATCTGAAGATCTCAGTTCCAATCCAGCCTAAGCAGGAAAATACATGAGACTCTTGTTTTCAATTAACTACTTAAAAAGTCAGAAATAGAGCAGTGACTCAAGTTGTAGAATGTTATAAACTTGAGCAAAAAAAAGCCCAAGGCCCAGAGTTCAAGCCCCAGGATCAGCACCAAAAAAAGAAAATATGGGAGAGAGGGAAGGAGGGAGGAAGAGAGGAAGGGTTGGTCCAAAACATTTCTATTTAAATTTATTTCTCCTACTGTGTGAAAATTCATTAACTATGGTGAAGCATTGAGACTGTGGTATAAATATATCTAAGATAAAATATCAGCAAATATCAGTAAACTCTGGAATTTTGCTGGTACTAGTCCTAGATTCATTCATTGTCTATAACCTGCTTCCTACTAAACTGCTAACCTCAATATCTGTTGAAATTAACAGTGCTACATAAATTAAATATCTATGTGCATTGGACACTCAAGGTAGAGTCCTTTAATTCTCTTAAAAAAGTAACATATTCCATCTATCATCCAATCACATTGAGAACTATCTATAGCCCCCAAAACTTCAGATGACTGCAAAGAACATTTATTAATTAATATTAATGGTAACCTTATGAGATCACAGAAAACCGAGACAAAAGAAAATTTTAATTTGCTCCTTGTCTGCCCACAGCCGTCTACCAGGTCACAAGTATAGTGTGAAATAAATAAGAAACAAGAAGTAATGTTAACTAAACAAAGGTTTTCATTCATCTTAAGAATGTAATCATAAAACCCAGAAAGAGCCTTCAGGCACAGACACAAGCTACACATATGCATGTTCCAGAATGGTTTTTTTAAAAAAAAAAAAAAAAAAACTTTTTAACAACATCGCCCCATTTGTTAGGAAATGGGAAGACTTGGAAAAAATTATATTAAGTGATGTAAGCCAGGCCCAAAGAAACATAGGTCCCATGGTTTCCATATCTGCAATAACTAGTATATGTCTGGAACAAGCAGAAAAGATCAAAAGCTATGTACATATGACCTTATAAGATGATGCTAAGCGAAATGAACCCCAAGACTGGTGCACAGAAGTTTTATCTTTGTTGCTGCAGTTTTTAATGTACTTATAATGTACTATGTGATTTTTTTTGTTTCTTTTGTATGTTCTTCCCCCATGATATAACACCTGTTTTCACTGTATTTGATTCCGGTGTCCTGCATCTTGTATATGCGTTTTTCTAATTTGGAGAGGGGAAGGGAATTAACAAAAAGCTGAAATAAGGATAAAGGTTGACTCATTGTAACAATGAGATATACAAGACAATATGTTAAAAATGAACTTTACCACTTTGAGGGGGGGGAGGATTTGGGGAGGTGGAAAGGGATGGTAGGGGAAAAATAAAGGAGGGCGTAATAATGCTCGATAGGAAATGGACTCATTAACTCATTACCTTGCTCATGTAACTGTAACCCCTCTGTACAGTATCTTTACAATAAAAATATATATTATAAATAAAAAACTTTTTAACAAAAATTATTTCAAACTTGAGACATTATAGGAATAAGAATAGTTCAAAGAGAAGCATAAAACACCCTTTACCCAAATCTTCATATTGGCTATTTAACAAAAGGAATCTGGGGAATATCTGAAGGGAGAAGAGCTCAGAAAAACAGATTCAGAAAGGTCATCGATGGCACACATCTGTGATCCTAGCTTCTCAGGAGGCTGTGATCTGGGGATCACGGTCTTAAGCCAGCCCAAGCAGAAAGTACATGAGACTCTTACTATAATTAGCCACCAAAAAACACAAAGTGAAGGTATGGCTCAAGTGGTAGAGAGAGCATCAGCCCTGAGTGAAAAATCCAAGTAAGAGCACAAAGCCTTGTGACTCAAGGCTTAGAGTTCAACACACACCAAGAGTTAGGGCTGAATTTGCTCTCAGGTCTCTCTGACAACAGCATGAAGAATACAATCCAACCTTGAAGATCCACGTAATCATCTGGGGCAGGTGGACACATGTACCAAATGACAGCAGAGCTACTAGGTTCACCAGCCTTACCAACTAATAATTGTCCCATGGATGGGATAATGCAAAGTCACCATAGACAAGGAGACCTACCCACTGAAACTGGCCATGAACTAGACTTGAAGCCAGAACAGATCCGTCCACCCAGATAAAAATGGAAAGTTCAAAGACATGAAGGCATGGTATATGGGGGTGGAAAGAAGACTCAGACATGCTAAATAAGACTTCTCATAAAGTTGCTTAAAGGAAAAGATTTGATAGAAGCACATTTCTTGCCAACAAAAAACTCTGAACTTCAGACTGCATTTACCATCATACTTATCAAGCCAAACACATAAAAATACCTCAGTGTAATAGCTTCGGTCATAAACTATGTCATAGCATTTGAAGCTTTTATATTAAGTATTTATAATAAATGGGGAAAGAAACAACCTCATATTGAGGGGAAAATGCCCTTATAATTTAGGATTCAATAAAAAGCTAACTGTAATAGGGCTTCAAATGACAGAAAACACAATTGCATCGAGCCTCTAACTCCAAATAAACAATTATTTCTTCCAGAAAACAAGGTGGGATTTTTTGTTCTCTATATAATATTAAGCAAAAAGATTTTATAGATCCCATTTCCAGAAAGCAGTTACCCGGAGGAAAGACTGGATTTCAGAATCACAAGACAGCCTCACCCTTCGCAGAAAATCACAGCACCTACTCTCAACCTTGGGGCTCCTGGGTCCGCTCACCTGCAGCTGCTGTTTGAGCTCGCTGGCCAGGATGCTGTCCTGAAGAGCGTTCTCCCGCTGAGAGGCGTCCGCAAGCACATTCGCTGTGGTTTCTGCTTCTTGAAGCCATTTCAGGAAGTTCTCTAGGTCTCGGCGAGAGGCCTGCACTGTCTTCAGCTCGGCCTCCAAGGCGCTCTGTCTGTCAGCAATGCTGGATGAAACGGCATGACAGGCTCAGTTACTGACAGAATGACAGCAGACAGAACCCAAACACACAGCCTCAAAGGAACTTAGTTATTTCACTGGATGGATCTAACTGGTAGCATCATTTAAGTGTGTGTCTAGAGTGATCCTTCACAAAGAAGTATAAGTGTCAACAAAATCCCTTCCACATTCTGAAATAATTATGATTACATTTTATTCCTATGTTTGCATATAAGTGGCTTTTCCATGTATGTATGTCAATAACATAATGGTCGACACTCAAAAGGTAATAGAGAGCTGGATACCGGGCTCATGTTGTAATCTGAGCTACTCAGTAGATTGAGATCTGAGGATAGTGGTCTAAAGCCTGCCCAGGCAGGAAAATCTGTGAGACCCTTATTGCCAATTAACTACCAAAGATGCAAAAGTAGAGTTGTGGCTTAAGTGGTAGAGTACTACCCTTGAGCTCACAAACAGTACCCAGGCCCTGAGTTTAAGCCCCAGGACTAGCGTATGCATGCACGCGTGCACACACACACACACACACACACACACACACACAGTAATAAAAGGCAATATGAACAAATATTAATATAGTTAGTGACTAAATGGCTCGAAGAAGAAGAAGAAAAATCTGAAGGAATGTTTAAAATAAAATAAAAACGAGCAGCTGGGTGGGTACCAGTGGTTCATGCCTATAATCCTGGATACTTGGGAAGCTGAAAATGGGAAAATTATGGTTTAAGGACAGCCCAGTCAAGAAAAGTTTGTGAAAGCCTTCTTAAACCATAGCTAGACACAGTAGCACATGCTTAACATCCCAGTCTATGTTGAGGGGCTGAGAACAGAGGAGAAAGTCAAAGAACAACATGCAGTTGTTGTAGGAAGACAGGTCTACTTAGTTGGCACTATTTGCAGTATAATGGTGGGTGTTTTGTTTTTGTGTTTTGATGAAAGCAGATTGGGCTCCACCATAACTACTGCAGAAACTTGAAAGCAATCTGCCTTGGTCATTCAAGCCTTATGGGCATCATCCCTCTGCTTCAACACACATGTCGAGTGATCTGATTCCTTCTTATCTTCCTAAAAACCATCTCCTCGCCCCAAAGCTCATGGATTATCTACAAAATGAACCTCAACTAATCCTCCAGGCAGTCTCTGTCTCTGTCACACCCAGAGCTTTGGTACATGAATTCCTTTAACATCAAGTATCTTTCCTCTCCCTGCTCCTAGCTTCCACTAATCTCCTTTCCAACTGACTAACTCTGATCGCCACTCCAGAAACACTTCCAGACAAAAGGGTCCCATGATTTCCCTGCAATGGCCATTAGTATCCCATGGCTGCTGAAACCAATCACCACCAGCTCAGTAGCCATTTCTTCTACAGACACAGGCCTCCATTAGGCTGAATTCCTACTGCTGAAAACTCTCCATTCATGTCTGTAGGGTATGGGTCAATCTGTTTCTGTCCTTTTACACCTTCTAATGGCCCCCATATTTCTAGGGCTCATGGCCACTTCCTCTGCCTTCAGAGCCAGGTAGAATGAGCGTAGGTCTTCTCATCACATATCTCTGACTCATTCCTGTACTTCAACCTGCACTCTTTTAGATTCACAAGATGACACTGTGCCCAACCAAGATGACCCATGGTAATCTATATCATTGTGGCAGGAAGTGAATGTTTTCCTGTCTACTGGAACTGTTTGAATTATCACTTTACCTGGTACCCCCATGTATCATAGCAACTCAGCAAATGCTTAGTGAATAAGTAAGTACAATGGGAACCATACTTCCTCAGGAGCAATATTTTATGAAGAAAATGATACAGACCCATATAAATATATTGAGATTAACATCAATAAATAATAGCTTTCTTGAATTTGGTGAAATATTATGAAATTAATCTTGCTTATATAACATAGAAATGGGCATAATAATAAACATCCTGGTGGATTTTTTAATGCACATTTATCTAGCATAAAATGTTTTATTACAAATCTCATCAACTACTAAAAACAGTAAAGATACTGAAAAAAATAAACTCTATAACAATCCAAATAATCTTCCTATTATTATAATGAATACACCGGCTAAAATTTATATTCAGATGTCTGTATAGCACTTGCCTAGCATGTGTGAGTGCCCATGTTCAGTCCCCAGTAGCACAAATATAGTGTATATATGTGAATTTGTATTCTGATTTTTTTTTTTGGTCGGTCATGGGCCTTGAACTCTGGGCCTGGGCGCTGTCCCTCAGCTCTTCAGCTCAAGGCGAACGCTCTACCACTTGAGCTACAGCGCCACTTCCAGTTTTCTGGTGGTTTATTGGAGGTAAGAGTCTCATGGTCCCTCCTGCCCAGGCTGGCTTTGAACCGCGATCCTCAGATCTCAGCTAGGATTACAGGCGTGAGCCACCAGTGCCCGGCTTATATTCTGATTTTTGAAATTAATTTATATGAAATTTCTAATACAACATACTTTAATTGTGTTCTCCTCATGCCCTACTGTACTTTTTTAAAATATTAAAATATACAGTCCATTATGCTAGATATTACAAGAACCTTTTATTCACTCTCAAGAAAATCCAAATGATTTATCATAATATTAAAAAGCAAAAACCCACAAAAAAAACAGTCATTAAAAGTAGATTGTGGGGGGGGGAGATACAGAAGGGGGGAGTGAAGGGGTGGGGGTGGGAGATGGGAAGGGATGGGAAGGGGAAACAAAGGAGGAGGCAACAATGCTTGATAAGAAATGTACTCATTACCTTGCCCATGTAATTGTAACCCCTTTGTACGATATTTTCACAATAAAAAAAAAGAAAACAAAAGAAAAGTAGATTCTCAGAGACAGGCACTGGTGGCTCACACTTGTAATCCCAGCTACTCAGGTAACTGGGGTCTAATGATCATGGCTCAAAGCCAGCCCAGACAGGAAAGTCCATGAGACTCCTATTAACCACCTGAAAACCGGAAGTAGCACTGTGGCTACTACTGTGGTGGAGTGCTAGCCTTGAGCAAAAGAGCTCAGGGACAGCACCCAGGCCCTGAGTTCAAGCCCCATGATCAGGGGGAAAAAAATGAGACTCTCAGGAGTAGGTATGTGTATTTTTATCACACAAGCTAATAAATTATCTTTGATGCTCCTCGTCCACTGTTCTCAGAAGAAAATAACCACTTCTGTCACTTACTAGCTAGATGGCCTAGCCGTCTCTTCAAACCTCCAATTTATTTATTTTTTCATTGTTAAAATAAGGAGCTTGGACAAAATCAGTGAAAAACCCATTTCAAAACATCCAGGGGTCCTTTTAAAACTACATAATCCATCTGAGAGATTCTAACACCTGCTAGGGAAGTGCCTCCCTTGTCTACCCTCAATCCTAGCTTCCAAATTCGGCTCCATTAAGAATCCCTGCTTTTGAGAACAATGTGACTGACAAGAAAGGATGAATGGGGTACACGCCCAGTCAAGAGGCTGGGAAGCAATAACTTGGAGGGTGTCTAAGATCCCTCCCCGCGCTGAGCTCCTATAGTCCAGGAGCTCAACGTAGATTTTATATTTGGAAGTTCTGATTGCTTCATCTCAAGAGAGATCAGAAAACAACTAGAGGAGATACTGAAGAAGCGTGTTTTTAAGCTGAAGAAACTTTGGCCTGAAGACAAAGGCAGAGATTTTTTATTTTTTTGGGGGGGGAGTAAATCTTTTCTGAATCTATAAAGCACAAAGGGTAAGGAAGGACAGGGTAGAAGCCTACAGAGAGAGCATTTGAAGTTTATGAGGCTCACTTTAGCCAAAATAACTTTTACTTCAATCAGAAGACATAACAGCCTATTCTTTAGTACAGACAAAAAGTACAGACTAAAATATAGTCTCCCATAAAAGATTTAGGGACATCCATGGGGTGAAAGATATTTAATAGTTTATATAAAAAGGATCTAGAACTTTTTAAGTGTAAACTCTTGGCTTTTAAAGTTATATGTATAAATTGGGTATGATGAACTATAAAATAACCAATAGTCTGCAATATAAAATGACTGCCCATATATAAAATACCATTTTAAAGATATTAAATAATATTTGATTATTTTAAGCTATAAGATATATTATTTAATTAGGCATAGATTTGCTTTTAAAAGAATTCTTTTTTGGGAGGGCTTGAACTCTGAGCCTGGGCACTGTCCCTCAATTCATCAACTCAAGGCTAGTACTCTACCACTTGAGCCACAGTGCCATTTCTGGTTTTCTGGTGCTTAATTGGAGATAAGAGTCTCACGTACTTTCCGGCCCAGGCTGGATTTGAACTGTGATGGATCTCAGCCTCCAAGTAGCTAGGATTACAAGGTGTGTGCCTCCGGCTCAGCTAAAAGAATTCTTTTTTTTTTTTTTCGGTCAGTCGTGGGGCCTGAACTCTGGGCCTGGGTGCTGTCCCTCAGCTCTTCAGCTCAAGACTAGCACTGTACCATTGTGAGCCACAGTGTCACTTCCAGCTTTTTCTGCTTATGTGGTGTTAAGGAATCAAACCTAGGGCCTCATGCATGCAAGGCAAGCACTCTACCACTGAGCCACCTTCCCAGCCCTAAAAGAATTCTTGAACACAAACAAATGCTGGTTTTGGTTTTGGTTGGAGATTTTTTTTTTAAGGTTTTAACAAAGAAACTTCTTAGGAAACTCAGAATTATATGTGTTCCGTTTTTATGTGTACTTGAAGGGTGACCTTTACAGTGATATAGGATTTAAATATATTTACCTCTTTTAGAATAGAAAAATAGTAGTATCAGTATTGTGAGTGGCAGGTAGAAAACCTAAAATGAAAATATTCCTGAAGCTTTTCAATGTCTACCTCCACAAGGTAAATTGGTTCTTTTGAAAATAAAAGAACATCTGTTGGAAATATATGTTAAAGTAGGCTATGAGAAAAATGCATTCAAAATGAGTCACTGCAAATATGTTCAATGATCTCTCATAGATTATAGTAACCAACATTTGTCCATAAAGGCTGGGTCATCACCAAGATACTTGAAAATTCACTCACTGGACCAAGTGCAGTGGCTCATGCCTGTAAACAGTTCATGAGATCTTTATCTCAACCAATAAAAAACAGACTGTGGTGGTACAAGCCTCTCATCCCAGACACATGGAAAGTATAAGTAGGGGGATTGTGATCCAAGGTCCACACTAATGGCAAATGCACACAGTGGGATTTTCACACAAAGGTTGTTGGATATCACACCGTGTGCCTTCTGTTCTTCAAGTAGCATCCTACAAATGTCTTCCAACAGTTCCAACAGTCCTGCAAAATATGAACTTGTTGGGATAAGGACAAGAAGAAAAAAAATCTATAGTAATTAGTGATTTAGAAGAAATTACAACACACCTCTCTTTGTGTTATTTTCTTTATGATACTTTACTATACACATATACCTATATCTACACATATACAGATATATACATAGACACATACATATGTACACACATGTCAAATGTTAATTTATCCCTGGAATATCCATGTGTAAGGCTAAAATGACCTTTTTAAGTCTCTAATCAACTATCCATACTCCCAAAGTTTCAACGAATTAAGCATTTCTAGTCAGAAAACCCGAAATGCTCCAAAACCTAAAACTTTTTGAGTATTGACAAAATGTCACAAGAGGTAAAACACAGTATTAAACTGTGTTTCAGATGTAAAATGACCTTCAGGCTATGTGTATAAGATATATGTGCTTTGGTATGTTTGTTTTACAATGATCAGGGTTTTATACATGCTAAGCAAATATTCTATCACTGAGCTATACCTCAGACTATCTAAAGAATATCTGAAAAATAAAAGAGTTTTGTATGTAAATTTGGGTCTCATATCCTAGATATGTCATGATGTGTATGTTAATCCTCCAAAACCCAAACAAATTCTGGTCCCAAACATTTCAAATAGGGGCTATGCAATTTGTACAGGCACATTTGAATATCTCACTTCACACTAAGTTATTAGTTAACTCTCATTAAGAAACGCAAACCCAAATGCTAGTGGTTTATGCCTCAGGAAACTGAGATAGGAGGATTGTGGTAAGAAGCCAGCCTGAACAGGAAAGTCTGTAAGAAAATCATCTCCAATAAAGTAGCAACAAAACAAAATGTGGAAGTATGACTCAAGTGGTAGAGTGACAATCCTGAGTGGAAAGCTAAGCAACAGTGTGAGGCCCTGAGTTCAAGCCCCAGTACCAGCACCAAAATATACATTAAAAACAAGGGTGAGCAGGATACAAGGTGCGGTCTGGTAGCACAGACCTGTGATCCCAGCACTCTGGAGGTTGAGGTAGGAGAATCATGAGTTCCACACCAGCCTGGGCTATCCTTACTAGCTCGCCCAAGAAAGCTCAAAGGAACAGGAAGTCTTAAGTGAAAAAGGCAGTTGTCAAGATATGAAGACTAGTTAGAAATATTAGACATAGATTGCTACACACCCAAAAATCCAGGGTCAGTTGTATTTGAGAATTAAGAATTTTTATGCATTTGAACATAAATGTTTCCACGTTAAAGATTACCCATTGGCAGGACTGGGGTAACAACCCAACACATTACTATTTGTGCAGCCAGAGTAAGGCCATTTCATACTTGGTGGCATAAAATCTATACTAAATAGCCCCAGGTCAACTCAAAGCTTTTTGTTATCAGAGCTATTCAGGATTTCACCATTACAGATCAGGAACTGGGGACCTGTAGCTGTAAATGGTCACGTTACTTAGGTCAACTGCAATTCATACAAAACTTTTCCTTGGAAGCACATATTAAAATCCAAATACTGCCTTCCACTAATACCATCCCATGTGCCTGTACCTCTGTGCCTCTCCCACATTTGGCTAGCAATGATGTTTATGAGGAATCCACCTGGGAGGAGGAGCAGAGCCCGAGGGGAAAGGCCTCGCAGACCTTTCAGAATGGTCCCAATGACCAAGAGAGTCTTCCCAATGGTCACAATGCTGGAAGAGCTTCACATTACTCAGGGAAGCGCTTAGCCTGAACAATACAGAATAAGACCCAGTAAGAAAAAGCACAGACAGATGAGAGGGGCAGGGACACAAGCAGATCGAGCCATAGCTGACACTGAGACAACAAAGAAAAAAAATAAAACTCTTGTTAAAGAATCTATCTCTACAGGTGGAAGACTTGAATTCCACTCCCAGCTCCATTGGTGAGAGCTCTGTGATCCTGGGTAATGGCTTAATAACTATGCAACACAGAAACAGATACATCAAAGTACTAAAACCTCATTGGAGAGGGAGAATCTCAAAGGATCCTTAGAGAAGAGCTAATAAAAAAAATGAAAAACATTGATCTGGATAAGCTGAAAAGTCATTTGTAGTTCTATCTTTGCAATAATATCAAAACACACTGGGCAAAGGTTAAGCCCAACGTTTGAAGCCAGCCCCAGCAGGAAAGTCCCTGAGACTCTTATCTCCAATTAACCACTAAAAATTCAGAAGTGGTGCTGTGGCTCAAGTGGTAGAGTGCTAGCTTTGAGTAAAAAAGCTCAAGAGACAGAGCCCAGGTCCTGAGTTCAGAAGCAAAAAAAAAAAAAGTCAAAAGTTCAAAAGAAGCTGAATAGCATCTCCCATAAATTGTTTAAGAAGCAAAACATGATTTATGTATGCCAAACAGAAGTCCACTCAAAATAGTTGAAAGTTGTAAATATTAACTCATTAAAAAAGAAAATTTGAAGAAGTGGCGCTGTGGCTCAAGTGGTAGAATGCTCACTTTGAGCTGAAGAGCTGAGGGACAGCGCAGGTCCAGAGTTCAAGCCCCACATCCGACCAAAAAAGAAAAAGAAAATTTGAGTAGAGTATAATGGCCCATTCTTACAGTCTCACCTACTGAGGAAGTAAACACTATAAGATATCAGTTCAAGGCACAACTAGGCAAAAGCACGAGACCTTCTCTGAAAAACATAGTAAAAGCAAAAGAACTGTAGAACTGTGGCATAGATCAAGACCAAGTGGTAGAGTTCTTGCCAAGCACGTGTGAAGCCCTGAGTTCAAAATCCAGTACCTCCAGAAAAGAAAATGAGAAGAGGGAAAAAAGAAAAAAACTCCCAATATATAAGAACTTTAATTGTCATTCATGAGGGAATATGTTAAACTGCCATTGTACTGTATTTTCTCAGGTCCTAATAACAAGATTATCTAAATCATGACTGAATATTAATATAATTACTTCTTTCCCCCAAAATGTGTGGAAAGAAAATAGAACAACTACTTGTAACCATAATAAAACTGCAGCCCTGTGGCTGTCTTGGGTATGATAAATGAAAGATGTCCTTGGAATATAATTCATTTCTAATTGCCTCTTCCATCTAATCTAAGTACTGCTGTAGGCTGTCTTAAAATATTTACAAAGGAAAGCAAAAAAGAAATTGGGGTGCTAAATAAAGCAGGACGCTTACTTCTGAGTGATCAATTTTTCTGGTAATGTTTTGTAACAAAAACAAAGTCATAACTCTTCCATGTGGAATTTTTGTTAATGGATGAGTATGTTTAAGGACTATGTCAGTGTTCAAGTTATTTTTAATTAACCTTCTTCCCTGCCTTACTGATATGATCCTTAATCTAGGCAAACAACCTTTACTAATATTAAAGTTGTACTAAAATACTACCATTCTGCTTTAACATTTCACAAAGTTTTATATTTGCTACCCTAGTCTTACATTCTCCAGAGTCTAAGGTAAAGCTAGCCATGTCATTGGGCTCATGATGCTCTTCTTGAGGTTTTTAGAACTCCTGTCAAGGCTCCAAAAATCAAAGTTCAAGGCCAGCCCAGGCAAAGTACTAGAAGACCCTACCTGTAGCAAATAAACTAGGCTTGGAAAAAATTCTAGTAAGCAAAGTAAGCCAGACCCAAAGAAACACAGGCTGAACGGTTTCCCTCATTTGTAATAACTAGAATATGTCTAGGATATTCTTAGCAGAGGATCACAATGTAACCAATAAACTAGGAACATGACTCAAATGGTAGAGCACTCGCCTAGCAAGTGTGAGGCCGGTCATTCAATCCTCAGGACTGAAAAGAAAAAGAAAAAATAGATTCTAACTCATAATAACACCAAGTAATATAGAACATTCTTTCATGTCAAGTTGTAGTTAAATGCCAGACTATATCACCAGGAGTTATAAAGTGTTCTGATATTGTTAGCTTTACTCATTATGAAATAAGTAATCACTACAAAATTAGTAATCATATTATCCAAAGGTATCTCTAAATATGTGGGTTCCTTACAAGAGTACTACAAAATCTATTCCAGATAATACTACAAGGCTCAAGAAAACTAAAATACACAATATTCAAGGGAAAAAGTTCATAGCAGAAATTCAAGTATATATTGTAGAAAGAGACATTGTAGCCAAGTGCTGGTGACTAATGCTGGGAGTCCTACCTACTCAGGAGGCTCAGGTCTGAGGATCGTGTTTCAACATCATCCCAGGCAAGAAAATCCATGAGACTCTTACCTCCAATTAACCTTCAAAATGCTAGAAGTGGAGCTATGGCTCAAGTGAGAGAGCACTAGCCTTGAGCAAAAATAGCTCAAGGACAGCTCCCAGTCTCTGAGTTCAAGCCCCAGGACAGAGATGCACGCGCGCATGCACATGCACACACGCGTGCACACACACACACACACACAATTCTACACTAAGTTTGGTATTACTGACTCAGTGTATCACAGTAGAGAATTTTTAAGTTAAACTTCTAGCAGTCACTCACTTGGCCTGCTTCTAAAGAAAGCCAAAGCAATCAAACCCTGAACCTGAAGATAGTCATTTACTGGCAAGGTCTGCAGGTTACCTTTGTTTTAGATTGATCCATGATGTTTTCAAGTACTCGGTGGTTTCTTTCACATTCCTTGTGTCATCGCTCCCATATTCTTCTAGCAGTTTCTGCAGCACATTATCAAACGCCATGACAATGCCATCCCCGGGACCCAGCTCTTGAAGCAACAGCTAAGACAGAAGTTGAGATACGTTTGTTAGACCCAGAGAATTCCCTAGCAACAAGTATTACCTCACCACTGAGACACTTAGGACAATTTTACAGGTTTCACACCCAGATGTCCCAAAGCAGGGAGGAGGGGGGGACATTAGAGGAAAAATTCTGGCATATAAGCTCAACCCAAAATAATTCTAGAAGTAAAAAGGAAAAATGTCTTAAGAATCAGATTTACAGCAGATGACATTTAAGAAATGATCATTCCCTCAAAATCCATGTGTCCTTCTATCCCTCCTGCTATACTTCTGACTCGTACGGACCATGTGTGTCCGACAGCAATGCACACACAGCTCCTCTGCATGAGATGGAAATACTTTAAGTGTTCAATATCATCAACTCTACAAGTGATCACAAAAAGATACCTAATATTAGAAGAATAAAGTATTTCTTTTTTTTCAAAAAAAAAGATACCTAATATTGATAAAAATAGTGTGCTTACAAAGGAATTAAAAGGAAGTAAAGTTGGGAACTAGCTGGTCACATCTCAAATCCCTAGCTGCTCAAAAGGCTGAGAACTAAGATCACAGTTTGAAGCTAACCTAGGTAAGAAACTTCATGAGACTCTTAACCCGAATGAACCATCAAAAATCTGGAAGCAGATGGTGTGGCTCAAGTGGTAGAACACCAGCCTTGAGCGAAAAACCTAAAGAACAGTGCCCAGGTCCTGAATTCAAGTACCAGCACAAAAAGATAGACAGACAGACAAACAGACAAAAGAACTAACTTATTACCTGACTTACAACTGTACCTCAGATGAAAATCCCAGGAAATTTTGTAAATATAAAAAAACCTCTAGGGAAGAGGTTTTAAGTATGAGACTAACTGAAGCTTCTGATAATCCCAAAAATGTTCTCTTTCTAGATGTTGGTTCATGGGGAGGATGTGATTCCATTTATAAAAATGCATCCTTTCTCCTTGTTTTACCTCCAGAAATTTCTCAAGAACATTCTTCTTTTTTTTTTTTTTTTTTTGGTCCAGTCCTTGGGCCTGAACTCTGGGCCTGGGCGCTGTCCTTCAGCCCTTCAGCTCAAGGTTAGCGCTCTACCATTTGAGCCACAGCACCACTTCCGGCATTTTTCTTTTTGCTTATGTGTTGCTGAGGAATCGAACCCAGGGCCTCGAGCATGCAAGGCAAGTGCTCTACCACTGAGCCACCTTCCCAGCCCTCAAGAAACATTCTTGATCAGTGTCTTTACAAGACTCTCAGTACAAAAACATCATGACAAGGTCCAGTTAACCAAGTAAAGAAAAGAATTATGTCCCATAAAATGCTGTTGCCCCCAAAAGCACTGGCTGCTGCGTCTTACTTGACTGTCAGCAAGCTGCTTGGTGAGCGGCTCCCTGCGGGCCTGCTGGAGCATGTAGAGCCGCGCCTCGTATCTTCTCAGCAGCTCCTCCGTCTCTTCCCTGTGGTCGTCCCACCGAAGGCTGTCCACGGCCATGTCCTCCAGCTGCCGCCGCCGCAGCTCCACCCCGTGCTGCGTGCTGTCCCACTGGCTCTGCACTGTCTCCACTGCAGGGAAAAGAATTCCCCAAAGTGACTCTCAGGACAGGGAGAGATACCTGATCCTGAATGCATCATAAATCAATCTGCAGATAGAGAGAATGGGGACCGATCAAGTCTACCTTAGCAATTCTGAGTACATGCCCACTATGCTAGAGAGAAGATATGTTCCTTTTTGAGACAGGGTCTCACTCCGTAATCCAGGCTGACGTTGAACTCAGTATCCTCCAGTTAAGAGGCTTTTCCATTTAATAGGTAGTAATGAGGACCATGTACTTGCTAAACAGGGGGGAAATGGAAAGAAAGAAAAGAAAGGAAGGAAAGAAAGAAAGAAGAAAGGAAGGAAGGAAGGAAGGAAGGAAGAGAAAGATAGAGAGGGAGGGAGGAAGAGTGGGAGGGAGGAAAGGAAGGAAGGAAGGAAGGAAGGAAGGAAGGAAGGAAGGAAGGAAGGAAGGAAGGAAGGAAGGAAGGGGTCATTAAATGGGAAGAGAGAAATATTCAAGAAAAGAAAACCCTTATAAAAAACAAACCTTAAAATGAGTTCTGATGAAACAGTGGGGTAAACAGAAAAAGAAGAGATCAGATGACAGTAGCATGGAATTTAAGTTTGTACAATGTGAAGGTTTTGTAAAGTTTGGTGCCATTAACAAAAGAAGTCCCTAGCCGAGTGAAGGGAAATGGGGTCACTCCAAAGCCTGCTAGTAGGCATGATTAATCACTGTCCATTAACCAAAAAAAAAAAAAAAAAAGAGGGAGAAGGAAGGAGAGAATGTCTTTTTTGGGGGGAAAAAAAATCAGCCCGAGAAACACCCAACAAGAAAATGTCCTTGGCTACTCAATCTCCCAGGGTAACCTCCCAGCCACCACATTTATTTGGAAAGCAAAGCACACCTATCATTGCAAAGACTTGACTTTCTCCCCTTAGGGCAGATTTGACTTCATTCTCCCAGCTTACATTGTCCTACCTGTATGTGTTAAGTATCTAATTCCAATGGGGCTCTTCGGGAGGCCCAAGGGCCAGAAAGTGAATACCATGCAAAGGAGAGAAATCTAAGAGTGGCAGAGTCTACAATAAAGTTATGGGGAGGGAGTCTAGAGCATGAACTAAAGATAGAAAACATGGTCCACTGGGGACAGAAGTGGGGGGAAGACTTCACAAAGTAGGGGAGATGACATTTTAGATGCTGAGTAGAATTTCACCTGGGGAGAAAAGGCCAAAGCGGGGGGGGGGGGGGGGGGGGGGGGGGGGGGGGGGGGAGGGAGAATTCAGGGGGAGGGCTGGGGAGGGATAAAACATGAATAAAGGTAAGGGGACCAGGAAATGTCAGGCCATGTAAAAAACAAACAAACAAAAAGTATATATAGCACAGAATAGCTCCCAATGGGGCCAAGGGCAGCAGAGGGGGTGGAAATTAAAGCCGACCGCAACAGTCCCCAAATGCCATTCTTAGGGAATGAAACTTTATTCTCAATATCACACAGATCAGAGTGGTGATGAGCTCATATGCGAAGTCCAAACTGGGCTCCTCATTCGCTGTTTCTTGTATTATTATTTTGTTGTTGCTTAATGCCCATGTCTCACTGATGTAGCCCCAAATCAGTGCAACTCACATAGGCACACACAAGCAAGTGTGAATGAATTTTTGAGGTGAGCTAGGGCATGATGACACCCGGCTTTAGTGAAGAGAATGCACTGTCAGAAGGATTCACAGTCTATGGGTTTCTCTAAATCCTGTTGCTCTGGTTCCTTTAAAAGAAATCCTAAGCCAGGTACCACTGGCTCACACCACTGGTTCATACTAGCTACTCAGGAGGCTGAGATCTAAGGATCATGGTTGGAAGCCAGCCTGGGAAGGAACGTTCATAAGACTCTTATCTACAATTAGCCTGCAAAAAGCCAGAAGCGGAGGTATGGCACAAAGGACAGAGTGCTAGCTAGGAGCAAGAAAGCTAACAGACAGCACCAGGCCTCAGTTCAAGTCCCAGTGCTGTGGCACACACTCCACATACTCACACACACAGACACTCAAACTTCTAGTTTAAGAGGAAAATAAAAAAAACTCTAACATGTAAATAATTGCTTCAAAGTACCATTGATATCTTAGGACTGACTATAAGAAATATTTAAGAATTTGTAAGGAAATTGTGACAATGGTTACAAACAGTAAAATACAAGAAAACTATTGTTTATAAGAATACAAAATATCAAGATTAATTTCTAATTTGTTGAGTCTTTGAAAGTGTATGTATGTTTGGGAAAAACGGATGATGGCACCTATCTTTTTAAACAACAACAATTTTTAAAAAAAACTTACATTTTTCTGTGATGGCGGTTCTCAGATCCGAACTAGAAGCTTTGTTTTTCAAATTCTGTGCCAATGTGAAGACATAATCGAGCTGAGGATGGCGCTGTTCTAAGTCAGCCTTTGTGATCTGGGAAGAGAAATGGTAAGGAAGGAAGGTCACTATGCTCGAGGATGACAAACCTCACAATGCCAAGCAGGTCTGCTCACATCAGTGTTATTGTTTTCCTCAAAGTGCCATAGAAAGGGTGCCTGGGTTGGACTACATGTCTTGAGTACAAACTTCAGTCCTTTTCATCAACCACCTGAACTAGGTACCTTTCCGTTAAAAGACTGTTCCTTCTGCCTAGTATGGTAGTACACACCTGTAACCCCCGATACTAGGGTGGATGAGGCTGGAGGATGCAGAATTTGAGGGCAATCTGGAATACAGAGCAATACCCTGATTCAAACCAACAAAGCCACTGTGTTTGAAAATGCTCTAGAAACATCAGCAGCCATCAGTACCACTGCCAGGTGTATCTCTTCTGTATCTCATATAACAAATGCTGTATCACAGAAGGAAACATGCTGATTTGAGTAACTGTGAATTAAATTATCTTAGACAGGAAACTGATGTTTCTTCTACATGGCTTGTGTCTCTTAGTATTGATGCGGGGGGAGGTGTTAATTTCAGGAAAACCAAGTGTTGGAATAATAGAATTTATAGATAGCCAGAAAAATTAGAAAAGACAATTGACAATAAATACAAGTCAGTAAAGGCTGGTATACTGAGGGTAGGAGTCCACTGGTATAATTCCTCTGAACAACTAACAAAATGAATACCAGGAAGCTGAAGAGTGTGTGTGTGTGTGTGTGTCTGTGTCTGTGTCTGTGTCTGTGTGTCTGTGTCTGTGTCTGTGTCTGTGTCTGTGTGTCTGTGTCTGTGTGTAGCGGGGGGGGGGGCATTATGTGTAAATTGAGCTATGTAACTTAAGGATAGAGATGGGAGGGGAAAAGATTGGGGAGAATGATCTGCAAAGGGTAACACTGATTAAGGTGCATCGTACTAAGCTGGTGCTGGTGGCTCACGCCTGTAATCCTAGCTACTCAGGAGGCTGAGACCTGAGGATCCCATTTCAAAGCTAGCTGGGGCAGGAAAGTCCTAGAGACTCTTATCTCCAAAAAATGACTCAGAAAAGGCCAGAAGTGGGGCTCAGGCTCAAGTGGTAGAGCACTAGCCTTGAGCACAAAATGGTGTCCAGACCCTAAATTCAAGCTCCCAGGACCAGCAAAAAAAAAAGGATGTGTTGTACTCATAACCTGACTTCTGGAACTGAAACCCCATTGTACAACTACTTAAGAAAAATAAGTATTTAAAAATAAAAATAAATAAATAAATACTTAAACACAACTCAGGTAGCAATGGATTTTCCCAGCCCGCTCCCCTGAGAAATCCACTGGTTTTGTACATTTCAGTCACACCCCCAGTAACAAGCAATATTCCTAAAGGTGTTCCTTGCTGCTCTACTCCTGATAGAGGAGCACCTTTCTGTTCCCTCCCTTCCCAATGGCACAAGGATCCCCTCTAAACAATAAATCTACACCTCACTCACTCCAAAGCCCACTCACACCCATGCCTCCTCTTTCTTAACTCCTCTGATTGCGAAGGCATCTTCCCAGCCCCTCAGAAACGACTCTGCAACTTGATGTAAGCAGCTCCTGCCTCCAATCCATCCGCGTCTCCTTACGAAAGCAAAGCACTCTTATCACCAGTTCGCAGCCGCAATTCAGAAAAGAAAAAGAAATAAGGAGAAAGAGAGGAGAAAGAGGCCAACGGTCCCAACTGCACACAGACCAAATCTGCAGGACTGCGCATGACCTGGAAGGCCGCTGAACCTGAGCTTCCTGTCTCATCCCCCTCCCACCCCCACCCCCGCCTACTTCTTCACTCCAACACAGACCCCAGCCTACCCATGCGAGTCTTTATTATAGTGTTTACGAGATATGCCACGCATTCTTTCCTGAAGTTGAAATCTTATAGCTAAGAGCAGAATGTGGGGGGAGATGTCATTACACTCGATGTACACACGTGAAAATGCAAGCAGGTAATTCAAGGGGATGAGTGGGTATGGGAGAGACTCAAAAGAATGACAGAAGGAGGGACTTTGATCAAGATGCCTTTACTCCTAGACTGCCCTGTTGAGTTGACACCCACTGTAAAACTACTTAATCCCACAGCCCGCTTCTATCAATCATGCTGGCTAGTCTCACAGGTAGCCTGCACGGCTCTGTGGCTTTGATTAGACCAGGTCTTGCCACAGAAACATATCCCCTTAGCCCGTTCACTGCTCCACCTTCTTCAAGTTCAGGCTTACCACTAATAGGCGAATCATAAGAGCATCTACCCCATGAGACACTTAAAGAAGCAAGTGCGGCAAAATACGCAAAAAGCCTAAGATTACTGACATTAAGCATTTTGTAAGTCAGTCCTAAGCACTGTGATCTTTTTGCACATTTCTATTTGAAACATTCTTTTTAGTAATCCTCTACAACACAAACCCCAGAAGCTAGCACACACTAAAAAGAAAAAACAATTCTCAAAGTGTCTTTGACTTTTTTGCTTTCTTTGGGGGGCTGGGGGAGGGGGCAGGGTACTAGGGTTTGCACTCAAAGCATAGACACTATCCCTTAGCTTTTTGCTCAAGGCTGGTGCTCTATCACTTGAGCCACAGCTCCACTTGTAGCTTTTTGGTGGTTCATTTCTTGCCTGAGCTGGCTTTGAACTGTGACCCCCCCCCAAGATCTCAACCTCCTGAGTACTAGGATTATAAGAATGAGCCACAGGTGCCCATCTTTTACAAATATAGTAGACAGTATATGCACAGCAATAAAATGAGTCTAGGATAGTCTCATCTCTAAAGTCAGAAATGAAATAAGCTCACTGTGAAAACTTAAGTTGAAACAATACTTTGGGAAATGATCCTATATCACTTCGAACATTAAATGTGGCATCAGCTTGTATGTATACAAATATCTTCAATTTTAAAAGTATACTGAGTCTTTAGCTTTAGTTAGTAAACTTGATCCTATGAATTCAGGAAAAGTTTCACTCTCTGAGAGTTTAGTGAGAAAGTTCTGAGGCTTGAACTCAGGGCCAAGGTGCTATCCGCTATCCCTGAGCTTTTTTGCTCAAGGTTGGTGCTCTACCACTTAAGCCACACCTCCACTTCTGGCTTTTTCCTAGTTTGTTGGAGTCTTACAGACTTTCCCACCTGTTCTGGCTTTGCACTGGGCTCCTTAGATTTCAGCCTCCTTGTACCTAAGAACCCAGGTATGAACCACTGGTTCCCAGCAAATAAACTTTTTTAAAAAACCTTTTTGTCCCAGAGTTTAGTACAAACAAGGTCATCTGACCAGGTCTGTGGGGTGGTGGTGGTATGAAAAGCCTTGACTCTCAGCACCTACTTTCATCCGGGAAACTGTCTTATTGATCTCTTCCACATCCCCAACAGTGACAATGTTGGACTTCAGCATCTGGTCAATCAATACCAGCCAGTCTGCTAGTTCTGTGATGGTTTTATCCAGATCAGCAGGAACCGAGATGTCTGGGGCTCGGTAAGACTGCACAGGGATGTCTGAAGCGGATGATACTAGCGCCACCTTTTGGACAGTAGAATGAACTGAAATAAAAAAGTCAATTGGGAATAAGTCAACAAGGATACAATTATGGTGGTGTAAGGTGATATGCAGATGTGTGTGCTTGAGTAAAATCTAGCTTGATCAAAAAAATTCATAAGAATTTATTTTTTCTTTTCATAGTTAAAAGTCCAGTAATATCCACATCTTTGGTAGCCATAAAGCCAATTCACACAACTCTAGTCCATCAATAACTCACAGATAACTGAGAAAAAAATAAAACTATAAAAATTATAACTACCAGAAAACTAAAAGCATTATTTTATTTGGTCAAGATGTTTTGCTTAAGTTAAAAGAAACTGATTCATGATTATCTATTCCTTGCTTAACCTCATGATATGAGCATATTTTAAGAAATGCTAAAGTAAGGGCTGGGAAGATGGCTCAGTGGTAGAGCCTTGCATGCATGAGGCCCTGGGTTCGATTCCTCAGCACCACATAAGCAAAGAGAAAAAAGCCAGAAGTGGCACTGTGGCTCAAGTGGTAGAGCACTAGCCTCGAGCTGAAGAGCTAAGGGACAGCGCCCAGGCCCAGAGTTCAAGCCCCATGACCGGACCCAAAAAAAAAGAGAAAAGAAAAGAAATGCTAAAGTAAATACCTACATAATACTGCAGTCATCTATTCACTATTTATTACTTAACTCTTTCCTCCAGCTGGATATAAGTATTACTCCTAAAATGTATTCTTTTCTCTTTCACTTTTTTTTGTGTGTGCCAGTTCTGGGACTTGAACTCAGGGCCTGAGCACTCTCTCTAAGCTTTTGTACTCAAGGATAGCTTTCTATGACTTGAGCCACGACTCCATATATGGAATTTTTTTGGGGGGTCCAGTCGCGGGGCCTGAACTCTGGGCCTGGGCGCTTTCCTTCAGCTCTTCAGCTCAAGGCTAGCGCTCTACCACTTGAGCCACAGCGCCACTTCCAGCATTTTTCTTTTTGCTTATGTGGTGCTGAGGAACCGAACCCAGGGCCTCAGGCATGCAAGGCAAGCACTCTACCACTGAGCCACCTTCCCAGCCTTGGAACTTTTTTTTAATTGAGATAGGAGTTTCACAAACTTTCCTGCCGGGGCTGGCTTTGAACCACAACCCCAGATCTCAACATCTTGAGTAGGTAGGATCATAGGGGCCAGCCTAAAATTTATTCTTTATAAATGAATTTGAGCCAGGTACTGATATTAGCCCTAATAGCAACACCAAAAAAACACCTTTACATAAACCTTTTCCATAGTGTTGAAAACTACAGATACATCCAGGTAGGGCATGCTGATTGTTGGGAGAAGAAGCGAAGGAGAGACTGCCTGATGAGTAAGAACAGCCACTTCAGATAACAGAGGTTATTTCTGACCTAGATAGAGTCAGTAGTACTAAATGAGAGAATAATTTAAAGTCGTTAATTTGGTTATTTAATACAGTGTGTGTGTGTGCGCACGCGCGCGTACACGGGTATACATGGCAGTCCTAGGGCTGCCCATGTCTGGGTGCTGTTCATGAGCTTTTGTGCTCAAAGCTAGAGTATTACCACTTGATCCACAGCTCCACTTTTGACTTAACTGGAGGTAAGTTTTATCGACTTTGTTCCCTGGGCTGACTTCAAACTATGATGCTCAGATCTCAGCCTCCTGAGTAGCTAGGATTATGAGTGTTAGCCCTAACACCTGGCCTTAAACCAACTTAAAAGAACATTAAAATATTGTATAGGAAGGGAGAAGATACACTAAGATTGGCATCCAGTCTCAGATCTGTCCCAGAGATGATTACAGTGTGAATAATGAACTACACATGTAATGAAAGGTATAGATTTCTTGCCAACTTTTTATAGTTCTACATAGATTCAAATTTTCTCTGCTCTTTTGCTATCATGATATTATGAAAATAAGAAAACCCGTTGTTGGTTTTATAAAATGCATCCAATCTCTTTTTTGCAGTTAAAATTGGATTTGAGAGCAGCAACTGTCGATAAGTCAAGTGCTTTGAATATGAACAGAAAACCAATCTGGCCTCAGTTCTCTCTTGTGCAAGGTATTGGCAAAGGTAAGTAATACAGAACAGACACTTGGCTCTCAGTAAGCTTGAAATGTCTGAAAAATTTTGAATCTGTCATTTAGCACTTTCTGAACTCCTCAGAGACAGAGGAGGGTTGAAATGAAAAAAGAAAAGGAAGGAAGAGACATAAGGACGAAGCAGCAATGGACGAGGAGACAGCAGGTGGAAAGGAGAAAGTAGGAGAAGAGCCGGGGATGAAGATGGAGGCTTAAGTTTAAGAGGAATCTGCAGCAGTGGCTAGCCCTGGGTTACAGTTAGCTGGGGTTAGCCCATCTACCTGGGGACTCGGCAGAAAGCAAGCACACAGGGACTTAGGGTGCTGGGCCCTTCATTTCATTAGCACAGTAGAGAAGGAGAAAACAGAGATGGTGAAAAAACGGTTTCTTTTTCTCCACAACTAAAGGAACAGTATCTACCAGTGTACGGTTTCCCTAGGAGGCAACCTCTTTCTAAACGTTTGCATCCTGCCTCCAAGAACTTCCAAAGTCTAACCCTTTTATTTTCAGGCATGATGAGCGCCCACCATCAGGCCAAATACCTGTTGACATGGCAGATTATACTGATGACATCGGAGGCTGCACACACAACCATTGGATTCCTTCCAGATTCCCTCCCTTCCTTCAGCAGGACCCGTGGCCTGCTGTCTGGAGCGTCACCCAGGAGAGCAAACACCTTGCCAGTGAAGTCTGGACTATATAAAGATGTTCCTTTCCAATTACTGAAGGACAGTAATAAATCACAATCGCACGCTGCTTTTCAATAATTTCTCTGACTTATATATGAGGCTCATATGATCATTTTTTTCCTATGTCGATAATCTGTGAAGGAATGAATGGTATCTGTGAAGGAATGAATGGTATCTGTGAAGGAATGAATGGCATCTTACCAGCAATCCTTGTCTGAGAGACAGAGCAGGGCTCCGGGAGGGGAGGCTTCCGAAGGCCAGGCACTTCTCTGCACATCTACAGCATCAGAACAGAGGGGGGGGTGGGATGCTCTGTAAACAAACATGATTGCACTTCCTCCCAAAGACAGGTGTTCTCAGTAAGCGTGCTGCCACTTGCTTTCCTTCACCCAACACCTCAGCTTCAATGCGCACCTTCCTTCCCACTGCAGGCTGGCTCCATGGTTCAGCGGCTGAGACACTACTTCACATGCCTGCTCGCCCCCACCCCCCAATGCCATTAATACTCTGCGAACCTGACTTCTCTCCCTATTCCTCTAAATTTCCGTCACTAGCTCCTCTTTCTTTGTTCATCCATCAAATACTAGCGTTCCACAGGATAGCTTTGTTTTCTGACCTTGGAATGTTTCCCCAAGTCCTACTTTCCAATGGTGTCATTTACCTTGGGGTAACTAGAATGTGCCTAGAAATCTACAAGTAAACACACTGAATGACTAAAATAAATAACTAACACTGGGACATGATAAATTATATAGGAACCTACTCATTCACCTACAGAGGCCAAAGAAGGCTCTGCATAGGAGTGGTGGACAAAGGCTCAGTAGCTCTGGACAGATGATCATAGAAAATAATAGTCTGTGAAATGAACACCAAGAAAAGGAAACAAGAGACATTGTTGCTGTTTTAGTTTTCTTTTCCTTTCCTCTCGTTAGTTTGTATTTGGGAGGGGAAGAGAGGTCCCATAAAAGGGAGACCAAGGATGAACAAAGACAACAGCAATACTCACTAGACACTCTGTGGAAAATGAACTGGCTATTTTATGGAAGGGATTGGGAGGGAAAGACTGGGAGAGAAGAATGGGAGACATTATTATACTGATTTGTACCTGATTCACGTAACTATAACCCAACTGCATATCAACTACACAATTAAAAAGAAAAAGAAAAGGACTCCCAATAACATATACTCAGTCACCTTTCTCTGTTGATGGGATGTGTAGAGATGCCAAATCAGAATTCCTTGTCTCTATTTTCCCTGAATTCCCTTTTGTAACTTTTCTCAAGCCTCCAACCCATCTCTCTATAACTACTCTTAGGACTGATCCACACATCTCTGCAGTGTGGCTACAGGGTCTTTCTTCTGCTTCAACCATCAGTAGCTCCCTAGTATCCTCAAAGCTGTAGATTCTTGTCAAAATGAGGCTTCAATTCCAGGAGCTCTAGGCCTGGGAGACTGTGAGGATCTGGACCCTAAAGGTATTGCTCAACTCAACGTATACTGAACTACTTCCAAGAGCCAGATGGACGGTGCGCACTGCTTCCTCTAGACCCTTTCCCACACTGCCTCTTTTCCCTACAATGCTCTTTCCTTCCTTCTTCACCTGACCCATACCTAGGCATCCCTTAAAAATCAGCCTGGAATAAATGAAATACCCAGATTAGTATTTCTCAATGTGTACGTGGAGCACAACAAGCAAACTCAATTCTTCAGTGGGAATGAGATTATAGTCTATGCAACGAAATAGATTAGAAACAGTCTTTAAATGGAAGGTTCGGTGTTATCTAACCCAGTGCCCCCAAACTTGACCACTTCACCATTTTCTGTAAAACAGCCACTGACATCCTTTGTGTTAAATAAATAGGTTAGCTCTGGTAGAACCCAGCCAAACTCAATCTGTGGAGTAACACAGACATATCTGTCTGTAAAGTAGAGAGCAACAGCAGATGAAGTCAGTGGTAACAAGAGGCCAGGCCATGAGGGGGCACATAAATCACAGTAAGGACTTCGGCTTTTCCTCCGAATGAGATGGAAAATCATTAGGGGACTATTCCAAGGAGTTTCCGGAGCTAGATTCTGTTTTCATAAACCTCTTTGGCAGCTCTGTTGAGAACAGAGCAACAAAAGGCAAAGAAGGAAGCAGGGAAGAGCAGGAGGAGGCAGCCGTAGCTATCAAGACAAAAGGTGATGGTAGCCGACACTCCTCAGTGGCTTCAGGGCTACTTAAGATGTAGTCACATTTATAATACATTTCAGACTTAAGAAAAACGGAAGGAATTCTACAGGAAACAATATCAATCATTTCCAAAATTCTGCTCTATTTACTTGACCACATGTAATCATCTAGGCATCCACAAACTAAACCATCCATCAAGTAGATGGGAGAAGACAATGTCTGGGACTTGGAAGCATTGCTGCTGGTTTGGACTGTTTGGGGAAGGGTTTCTTTTTAAGATAATTCATACATAAACCTGAAGATGGACTTCTGACAATAAGCCCCATTCAGAGAGAGAGCTGGATCTAAATATATGTGTGTGTATACAATCACACACACACACCATATATACCACACATATACATATATACTATATATACATATGTATGTATGTGTGTGTGTGTGTGTGTATATATATATATATATATATATATATATATATATATAATAAGAGTCTGGATAACCTCCTTTGATTGTTTGAGAGAAGTTCTCCTATACCACTTAGGCTGGCTCCAAATTCAGATCCTCCTGTCTCAGCCTCCCAAGAGCTGGGGGACAGGCATACTTACACACGTAACATACATCCACATGGATAAGTTGGAAAAAAAAAAGAGAAAACAAATGACATGAGATTCATGCAAATGGAAGCCAAGGGCAGAGCCACAGCTATTCACTGCCCCACAAAGACCTCCAGCTTTGATACAGAACGGACTAGAAGGCTAAATAAAAAATAAACCTGTAACTTCATCTACCTTCTACCATTCAGACTGAAAACAACAACAAAGTAATTGTTTGAAGGAAAGGTTGACATCTTAGTCTAAACTAATGGTGTCATGACATTGCACTGGACCCTATAAGCGTCTCATTAAGTGACAAATGCCAGTGAAAATAAACGTGTGTGAAACATCACATGCAATGCTGGGAAACCATTCTGCGGTGTTTATTTTCAGAATTTAAGTACAGGCATTTTGTTGCCTAATACCAATGTACATTCATCATTTATTTAATGTATTAAATAATATAGAAATCCTTTGTGCTGAAGAATTCTACTGAAACTAAAAAGCATTCTTCAACTTCTCTTTGTCTCTATAAAAGATGAAAAGAAGAACTGTAAACATCATCAATAAGCATTAGCTTAAAAAAAGAAGAAGAATTAAGCCAGACACCAGTGATTCACACCTGTAATCCTAGCTACTCAGGAGGCTGAGATCTGAGGATCACAGTTAATAGCCAACCTGGGCAGAAAAAGTCCTTGAGAATCTTATCTCTAATTAACCACTACAAAAGCTGGAGGCAGAGCTGTGACTTAAGTGTTAGAGCACTACTCATGAGCACTACCCAGGGACAGTACCCAGGCTCTGAGTTCAAGCCCCAAGAATGGCACAAAAATAAACATATAAATGAATAACTTATTAATTAATTAATTAGCAAAAAACAAATGGGCATTAGTAAAGTGGGCCCATCTTTGGATAGACTTAAAGGTAAACAACAGCAAGATCACACTTGTTTGATCATGAAATAACTAAATAAGGGAAATATGGTAGAGGAAGTCTATCTGCTCACCTTGTTCCACGTGGTGTTTATGGTTCTTAGGCTTTCTGAAAGTTTCTCTCTTTCATGTAAACTCAGACTTTGATCTGAGAGCATCTCCAATTCCGCTCTGTTCAGCCACTTGAGCTTTTCTGCTTGTGCTTCCAACTCTTGGGTTAATTCCTTAAAAAGAGGTCAAGAAGACAGGTGTAATTAGATGGCTATTCTCCAGGGGAAAGCTGAAGCAGTAGACCAGGAAACTCTTGGGAAGGAACACCTTGAAATGTGAACCTTTAGCTTCTTAAATGGAAAATAAACTTGCAAGAAGTCTGAATGCATGTTAACAAAGGAAATGACAGGGTCTGAATGCAGTGAATAAAACGTGTTCTCCTATGCAAGAGCTGTCTCTCAAGAAGATATTACTATATATTATAGAATATTTAATACATTAGTGTTCAGTTCTTAACTCCATCTTGCTACCACCATTTAAACCCTCCTCAAATTATTTTTAAAAAAGGAACATCTTTAAAAAGGACACTAGACATTTGTACATTTTGAGAAGAAAACTTAAAGAACGCTTTTCTCATAATATTTTCATCATTACTAGAAGTTCTTTTCCCCAAATAGCTCAAATATAGTCCTTCAGAAACCAAATCTCTTTTCAAAATAAGTATTTTTCTCATGCAAACTTTCATTTTTATTTATTTTATTTCTATTTATTCATTTTGGCCAGGGCTAGGGCTTAAACTCAGGGCCTCTCACTCAGCTTTTTGGCTGGTACTCTACCACTTAAACCACACCTCCATTTCCTGCCTTTTGACTGTTTATTGGAGAGAAAGGTCTAGGGGGGCGGGGGCTGCCTAGGCTGGCTTCAACCCTTGATCCTCAGACCTCAGCCTCTTGAGTAGCTAGGATTATAAGCATGAGCTACAAGTGGCTGACCACAACTTCTTTTTAAAATAAAGATGAAAGGTTATTATTCTCCTTGTTCCACAAACAGTTACTCAATATTACAAAAAAATACAAATACAGATATAAGCTTTCTAAATATTTAGATATAACTACATACATGAATGCATTTTGTAGACTGCATACTTTCCTAGCTATAAGCTATTCTTGGTTGAAAATAAAAAGAAGAAAACCTCATTACTAGAACCACGATTGTAAGCCTATAGGAAACTCTACCACGCTCAGTTCGACTGCAAAACTCAACTTTTATAATTAATAGTTCTCTAAACTTAAATGTAAAAATTATACTTCCCAGCCTTACTATAATCTATAACTGTTAAATTAATTTAACTCAGCTTAAAAATAAAGCTCTGCTCTAATACTGAGACCATCATGACAAGTATTTATTTTTAATGTGAAGAGAACTTTTATCTCTGGAAGACCAAAATGAACTGCTCTTTAAACAAAACAAAAAAAATCTTCTTTCAAGTTTCTTTTCCTTTTCTTCTTCAGTCTTGCAATATTCTATTCTCAAGTGAACTCTTCTTATATCAGAAGGCACTGGAACATGAGATAAATTGGCCACTTACTGCTAATTCTGCCAAGTTTGCTTCTGGCTCAGTGGCTGACTTCTTTTGCATGGTATTGTCAGCCTTGTTTACCCAGCAAATCATCTCGTCCATCTTCATCCTGTATTCCAGCACCTGCTGACTTTCTTTTTTCAGCCTAAAAGAATGGATTGTGGAAAAGCATTAAGAGAAATTATATACTGACGCAGAGCATTACATATTTGTTTGGGAAACCCTAATTAAATAGCCCCCGAATAATATCTTATAATTACAATTAATATTAATAGTAACATAAATATTTTCTTACTAAAGATTTGTAAGTACCATATTCCTAAGTAATTATGAGAATAAGTTAATTTTTTTCTTAAATAAGTTTATCTTCTCATCATCATAAAAGTTATAGAGGAATGTGTCAGGTTCCATTGGCTCACCCCGTAACCCCAGCTACTCTTGAAGCTGAGATCTGAGGATTGCAGTTCAAAGCCAGTCCAGAAAGTCTATGAGACTCTTATCTACAATTAAATACCAAAAAATGCCAGAAGCAGAGCTGTTGCTCAAGTGGTAGAGCACTAGCCTTGAACAGCTAAAGCTGAGAGAGTGGTCAGGCCCTGACTTCAGGCCCCAAAAGCATTGTCATTAATAATAACATATTTTTAATATAGAGAAACAAATTTACTACGATGTAAAACAATAGAACTTATTTTGGGGGGTTTTGTTTGTCTTTAATTTTGCGCTGGTACTGGGACTTGAACTCTCAGGGCCATGGTGCTGTCCTTGAGATTTTGTACTCCAAGACTAGTGTTCTACCATGTGAGCCACAGCTCCACTTCTAGCTTTTTGGTTGTTAATTAGAGTAAGAGGCTCAAGGACTTTCCTGCCCAGGCTAACTTCAAACCACAGTCCACAGATCTCAGCCTCCTGAGTAGCTAGAATTATAGGCATGAGCCACCAACACCTTGCCTGACAAGAAGGTTGTTTGAGATGAAAAAGTGTCCTTATCTAAAATAAGGAAACACATGTAGTTATCTTTGAGTACTGCATGACATAAAAAGGCATCATAGGGCAAATTCCCACATCAAATGGTGAATACTGCTCTACTATAGTTACAAGTCAAAAGTATTAGTGAGGCAAGGCACTAAACTAAAAAAATTACAAGTAGAAAGAACAAGACAAGAAAAAGTGTATAAATTTTATTAGTTCATTAGCATGAGTATTATATTTGAATTAAAGATGACACTAATGATAAAAAGAAATCTAGCCAGGTACTTGTGGCTCATGCTGTAATCCTAGCTAGTCAAGAGACTGAGATCTAAGGATCAACATTCAAAGCCAGCCTGGGCAGACAAGTCCATGAGTATCTAATCTCCAAATAACCAGCAAAAACTTGGAAGTAAAGGTATAGCTCAAGTGGGAGAATGCCAACCTTGAGCAGAAACAAAAACATAAGCAAAAGACATTGAGTTTAAGTACAAGACACTGAGTTTAATCCCAAGTGCAGGCACACAAAAAAAGGAGGAGGAGGAGGAAGAGGAGAAGGAGGAGGAGGAAGAAGAAGAAGAGGAGGAGGAGGAGGAGAAGAAGCAAAGGAGAAGAAAGGAAAGGAAGAGAAGGAGAAGGAGAGGAGGGAGGAGAAAGAAAGTTTCCCAGAAATCTGCTCGTGTCTCTGCCCAAAGAACATGGCTGAAGCATTACCTTGGCTGCCGGCCCTTCACTTCGGCAAGGATGGAGCTCCAGCAGCGGTTCACGGTCGCCACCTTGTCCTGTAGGAAGCTTCCCTTCCCAGGGGAGGATGTCTGCACAAAGCTGTCCCAGATGCGGTTTATGGCTGCCAGGCTGTGCTGGTGGCTGCTGATGCCCTCCTCCAGGTCCTGTTACAGACAGCACACACACCAGGCTTCATTCCCACTACCCAGGTATGGTGTGCTCTCATGATAATCCCACCCAAAATGGAGGTGTTACAGAAACGAATTCCCAGAAGCATCTTTTCATGTCCACAAAACATTTCCAAGAAACCTAATTACATTTCAAGGAACATGGGAAAAGAAGTCTATCTTGAAATGGAACCCACTCTCATGAGTGTCATCAGGCAAAAACTGTGAAATAAGACAGCTTAATAACATAAAACAAATATCAGCTGTTCATAGCCAAGTAGGAGCATCAATCACATTTGATTAAAGGGAACTGCTCATCCTCTTCCAAACAAATGCTTAAAATAAGCACAACAACAACAAAACACAAAAGCTAACAAAATCATTTACTACCCTATACTTTTATGACCTGCCATATCTAAATACACCTCCCTGTGTATCTTCTGACATTGCTACACTGTACTGCCAATTTCTAATCTAACAGCTTACAGGGGTATTTTAAAAGTCAAATTTAAACATTTATTGGTAACTGCCAAAATGTAACTTTTTTTAAAAACCTCAACATGTTGATGAGAAAAAAAGGATTCTTTTTAAAGCTCATGAATCTTCTAGAGAAAACAGACTGTATAGCTTAGTAAAAGGAAATATTTTAACAATGGAAAAATTGAAATTTTGTTTGATATCTACCATTATTCCTAAAGACCCACTATTTTGAGAACTGATTTTGCTATTATATTACAGTTTCTCAAGATGGAGGAAGAATCACAGAAGCAGCTGCCCTTCTGTAATTCCAGAATAATTTATACGAACGATAACTATCAAGCATGCAAAGGAAAATGAGATGCCTGTCTATTTAAGGACAGAAAACAAGGTAAGGTATGCATGGATTTTCCTATTTTCAAGTACAGAATTTTGCTAATGTCATTCTAAAAATAATTTTTTCCAAAAAGAATATTGTTTTCTCAGCAAATTTTATCTCAAATTCTCATTAAAAGGGGGACAGGAAGAGAGAGAGAGAGAATTTAAAATGTTGATTATAAATAGTACATGAGAGGGGTTTTTTTTTTCCTTTAAATTTTGACACTGGAAACTAGAACGGGGGCACAAAGTCAAAATCATTCATGAGCAAACGAATGAATTTGGTTCCTCCTGAAGTCTGCCTCTCCAGCCCAAGCTGGCACCAGGAAGCCATGGCAGCCATCTCTTCACCTGCTGATGCACCCGGGCTTTCTCCAGGTCCAGGCTGCCATCCGGAGCGTAAGTCTCAGCCAGTAACTCCTCAGCCTCCCGTATCCAGACCGTGAGGTCAGAGATGTGGCAATGGAACCGTTTCCAGTCGTCTATGGCCCTGTCAAAATAGCTAGAGGACAAGAAACAAGATCAAATAGGTTTGTCGACGTTGTAGAACTGACTAGGAATATATTTTTTCTTTAAAAACAGTTCAAGTCTTATTAACACCCAAGGTCCCGAGATGAGCAAATTCAGAACTCACTGCTCTACAAGACTAATTTTCACAGTGGATTCCAGACAAGTATTCCTCTTTGGGAAACACACATCATGCATCATGCCAAGAGAGAAAAGTACTCTGCACAATCCCAGACTTCATATGTATACCACACACACACACACAGCCTAAATGCTATGTAATACAAAATATGATCAATTAGTCCATTCCCTTACATTACTACAATGCTAAGAAACTTGGTTTTACGGTAACAAAGCCCAAAGGCTGAAAGACTTCAAAAACATTTTTATATACCATTCCCTCTCCGTAATGAACTGAATCCCTTCCCACAAAAATTCATCTGTGAAAGGCCAAACCCCCTGGGTGGTTGGGTGATATTTCCACAGATGACTTTTAAAAAGGTAATTAGGCAGGGTGCCAGTGGCTCACACCTGTAAGCTTAGCTACTCAGGAGGCTGAGATCTGAGGATCACGGTTCAAAGCAGAGCAGGGTAGGAAAAATCCGTGAGACTCTTATCTCCAATTAACCGGAAGTGGTGCTGTAACTCAAGTTGTAGAGCACTTGCCTTGAACTGAAGAGCACAGCGACAGCACCCAGGCCCAGAGTTCAAGCCCCACGACCAACAACAACAAAAAAAGGTAATTAAAATCCAATGAAGTCATGAGGATGAGTTCCAAACCAGAAAGATGAGGGAACCTTTTAGGCAAAAGGAGGGAGAGAGATCAGAGATACTGTTTTCCTGGAAAGATAGAGAAACACAGGCACCATCTAATTAACAGTAAGAAAGGCCTCTACCCCTGCTTCGTTTCCAGCATTCAGAAGTATGAGAAAATGAAGGCCAGGCTGGAAGTCCATGCGCCTTTGTATGGTAAGCAAAGCAAATGAACACAATTTAGGTCATGACTGATCTCCAGTGTTCTGAGTGCAGCAAGGATAGAAGAGGAGAGAAGTATATGCAAAGCACAAAAAGAGAAATAGGACAAAGAGTGACTGAGATTTCAAAGAAGAGATAAAACTCTAGTGATTGTCACACTTAGAATACCTAAAGTAACTTAAAAAGAAAAGTCTTGCTGGATTAGGACTCTTAAGAAATGTCCTCCTATTTTGTTGTTGCTGTTGTTGTTTTTGTTGTTGTTGTTTAGGGTGATAAGAGTTAGGAGAGAATTAAAAGAGATCTCTGAAATTTGAACACCATTAATAAAATTCATGAAATTAAATTTTCTATATGTCAAGAACATCCTTGCCAAAATTAAAGTGTACATAAAAAGCTATGAACACATATGCAGTAGAGAAAGTCTGAAATAGTTATTATTCTTAATGAAAAAGGTTTTGCAAACATAAGTAGTAATACTGTGATTTTTAAAATGTGAAAATCTGTCAGGCACTGGTGGTTCCCACCTATAATTCTCTCTACTCAGGAGGCTAAGATTTGAGATCCCAGTTCAAAGCCAGCCCAAGCAAAAAAGTCCATGAGACTCGTATCTCCAATTAAAAACACCAAAAAGCCCAAAGTGGAGCTGTGGCCCAAGTGATAGAATGATAGAGCTTGAGCAACAAAAGGTTAGAAACCACATCCAGACCCTGAGTTCAAGAGCCAGGAGTGGCACACAAAAGAACTACCAAACTGCAGCAAATAAAGAATTCGAAGTATTCAGTCTCACTGATTAATTTTTTTAAAAAAAGCAAAATAAAACAGATGCAGGCTGGGTGCAGAGGCTCACACCTGAAATCCTAGCTATTTGGAAGACAGATCCAAAGAATCATAGTTCAAGGCCACCCTGGAGCAAAAAGCTCAACCAAATCCATCTCAGCGATGCCATGTGCCTGTGATCCCAGCTGTGTGGAAAGCTGTAGATAAGAGGACAGTCACCTGAGGCCAAACATGGGCATGATACCAGAGCCTACCTGAAAAATAACTCAAGCAAAAAAGGCCTGCGAGTGAAATTCAAAATACAAAGCACCTATCTAGCCAAGTTAAAGGCTCTGAGTTCAAACCCTAGTACTTCAGAGAAAGGGAGAGAGGAAGGAGGAAGGAGAGGGGGAAGAGAAGGGGAGGGGGAAGAGCGGAGATATAATTTATCACTATAAAAGTAACTCAGGTCTAAAAGCATATTAATCCTTTCAATGACAGAGTTCAAAATGACCACTTTCAAATACTACTGGAAAGAGTTCAGAAGCAATTTCATGATGCAATCTGCAGCCTTAAAATATTATATGTTTTTTAAGAAAATTATCTTCATCCCCAATAACCAAGTCTAACAGGACAGAAGCATGGATCAATTAGTCTCTAAAGGGACAAAGAAATTCCTAAAACCTACCCAAAGAATTAAAGGCTAGCTCTTGAAATGATTGGACAGTACTGTGAAATATAGAGCCTGTTTCTGGTTTTTTTTTTTTTTGGGGGGGGGACCGGTCATGGGGCCTGAACTCTGGCCTGGGTGCTGTCCCTCAGCTCTTCAGCTCAAGGCTAGCGCTCTACCACTTGAGCCACAGTGCCACTTCCGGCTTTTTTCTTTTTGCTTATGTGGTGCTGAGGAATTGAACCCAGGGCCTCAGGCATGCAAGGCAAGCACTCTACCACTGAGCCACCTTCCCAGCCCCCCCTGTTTCTGTTTTTAAATAATATGATGACTAATTTTTCTACCTATGAAGTTTTCCAAAGTATGGATCTAGGTTAAATCTCCTCTTACACAGTGTTTTTTATTAGGTTATTTCATATCTTATTTCTACCACATTCACAGCTCCTGGCAAAAATCTTAACCAGTTTTTCATTCCGCCCATTCCACAGTTCAAATTCTGATCAGAAGGCTCAAACATAGTCTATTAACTAGAAAGTTATTAATAAGGATCTGCTTATAAATGGATTCCAATTACATGTAGTTAACCCTATTCTTCATCCACATAAATCAAGTATGGGGAAAATGATCATTAATGAAAATCTTGTTTAAATTTTTAAGAAACAGACACAAGTGAGGTCCTAAAACTTAGGGTACTCCCACATTATTAAGATATTATGTCGTAGGCCAGGAACCAATGACTCACATCTGTAATCCTAACAACTCAAGAAGCTGAGATTTGAGGCTCACCATTCAAAGCCAGTATGGGGAGAAATATCCATAAGTTACTTATCTCTAGCTAACCAGCAAAAAGCCAGAAATGGAATTGTGGGTGGAGTAGTAGAGCACCAGCCTTGAGCAAAAAAGCTAAGAGAGCTGGGTGCTGGTGGCTCACGCCTGTAATCCTAGCTTACTCAGCAGGCTAAAGTCTGAGGATCACAGTTCAAAGCCAGCCTGAGCAGGAAAGTCCACGAGACTCTTATCTCCAGCAAACCACCAGAAAACCAGAAGTGGCACAATGACTCAAGTGGTAGAGCACTTGCCTTGAGCTGAAGAGCGCAGGGGCAATGCCTAGGCCCAGTTCAAGCCCCACAACCCACCAAAAAAAACAAAAAAACAAAAAAAACTAAGAGAGAGAACATCAGTACTGACACTATATATTCTCCTTCTTAACCAAGGAGAGAACAAAGATATGAACTAGATTTTTCAGCTATCTTAATGCACACATGTACTTGTCCATGGCCCCTAGACTTGTTGGCATAGCTTTGAAAATAAACTATGACTTGGATTCACACATACCTTCTACGATCATTGTACATTCTATTGACTTTGTCCCACTTTGCATTCAGCTGTGAGAGCAAATCCCTGATCTGGATGGCTTCGGGTCCAGAAGCTTCTAGAATCACATCAGGCTGCTTTTCATGAATGACTGCAATCTGCTCTCCAAGTTTGTCCAACCGATCTTTGATATTCTAAGAACACATTGTTACACATTAACAAAATCCAGCAAAGTGAAAAGAATAGAATCACAGAGAGCCAACAATTGCTATTGTTTTAAATCCACTTAAAATAACAATGGAAAACAATTACAATTACTCAAGAAAACTGCAAATGTTTCTGTATAAGTATCCTATCTTGACCAAACTGTGAGAGTTCTGTAATACTACTACTTTCAGAGGAAGAAAAATCCTCACTGATGTTCCAAGTGGCTTTTAGACAAGATATATGAAAAGCTTTAATAACAACTGGGAAAGAGAGAGAGGAAAGGGGTGACACTGTCTAAAAAGAAATGTATTCTTTACCTGACTTATGTAACTGTAACCCCTTTGTACATCATCTTTATAATAACAATTTAAAAAATCAAATTAAAAATAAAAAAAGCTCCAGGGGCTGGGAAGGTGGCTCAGTGGTAGAGTGCTTGCCTTGCATGCATGAGGCCCTGGGTTCAATTCCTCAGTACCACATAAGCAGAAAAAGCCGGAAGTGGCGCTGTGGCTCAAGTGGTAGAGCACTAGCTTGAGCTGAAGAACTGAGGAACAGCACCCAGGCCCAGAGTTCAGGCCCCACGACTAACCAAAAAAAAAAAAAAGAAAAGAAAAAAAAAGAAAAGGAAAAAAAAAAAAAAAAGCTCCAATAACAATCGGTGAAGGTAGTTGGGTATCACAACATACATGTGAAATCCAGCAACTTGGGAGGCTAAGACAGAAGGATCAGGAATTCAAAGGCAGCCTAAGCAACACAGTGAGATTGTATCTTAAAACAAATGAATAAATAGTCTCTATTGTTTCAAATAATTAATAACTTTGCACACATAAAGTCCTACACTCATTTTTTGTTTTGTTGTGTTTTCTAATCCTGGGGTTTGAACTCAATGCCTAGACATTGTCCCTGAGTTTCTTCTGCTCAAGGACAGCACTCTACCACTTGAGACACAGTGCCACTTCTAGCTTTTTCTGAGTAGTTTATTGGAGATAAGAGTCTCACAGACTTTTTCTGCCCAGGCTGGCTCTGAACTGTGATCTTCAGTTCTCAGCCTCCTGAGTAACTAGGATTACAGGCGTGAGCCACCAGAACCTGGCCTATACCCACTTTTTTTTAATTAAGAAAAATTGTTATATTTCATTGATGAATATAGGAAAGTTGTACTACTCAAATATACAAATGGTGACTTGAACGTTCAATGATATAGATATAAGAAAGTAAACAGAGTAACACACTCCTCACTTTGCTTCTCTATTGAAACTATGGCTATTTCAATGCAGTTGCTAGAGATTTACCTTCAGACAGTCTTCCTGAAGAGAGTAGTCCTCACACACAGACATGTTCAGCTCCGGAACTCTCAGCAGCAATTCAACATCGTCAACTGTATGCAAGACTTTGTTAACTTCAGCCAGATAATCAGTAGGAAGAGATGATGATCTAATTCCAGAAGCAGGTTGACTTGTTTTCCTCTGTTGAGCATGAGTTGCCTATAAAAGAAATTTTTATTCAAACTAATTCACCTCTGTGTGTGTTTGTGTGTGTTCATATGCATGCACATATACACTGGTTCTAAGGCTTGAACTCAAGGCCTGAACACTATCCCTGAGCTTTTTTGCTCAAGACTAGCATTCTACCACTGGAGCCATAGTTCCACTTTTGGCTTTTTGCTGGCTTATTGGAGATAAGAGTCTCACAGGCTTTACTGCCTGGACTTCAAAATGCTTCAAATTGGCTTCAAACTACAATCCTCAGATCTGTTTCCTCAGTAGCTAGGATTACAGGCATGAGCCACCAGTGCCTAGCTAATGTACCTACTTTTAAAGAAAGATCACTACAATTAATTATAGCAAATAAAGAACAAAATGATTTTGTAAAGGCATTCAGGACCATGGACCCAAAGTTTTTTAATCTTAATTTTGCTTTTCTTTTCATTTTAATCTGTATTTCTACAGAAATTCGTAACACTCTCTAAGTTTCATCTGCACGCTGGGGTTAGCCATTTAATATTCAAAAGGTTTCCCTTAAGAATTTTGTCATTTAAAGTCATTTAGCAAGCCAGAAATAATCACCCTTTCCAAGAATTGTTGAAGAAATGAGAACAGGCTAAAAATGGTGAAGTTCTGCCATTTTAGGATCATCATTACTTCACTGTTTTTAAAATAGCCAATTAGATCAAATAGTTGTGGGCTTCACCGCTGAAAACCTAAGTTAAATGCGTTATTGAAATGTAACAAGCTGCAGGGGGATCCACGGTACGATGGAAGCTGAAGCAAAGGCTCACTAGAACTTACAGTTTTAGATCAGTCTGGTCAACCTAGAGCAACCCCCCCATCTCCAAAACTAAAATCAAGGAAAAATTAAAATGACATCCGAAATGCAATGGCGATTTTGGTTCAAATAGTAATTGTAACTTTTAAGACCAATTTTCAGAGCATGAATATCTCATGTACAACAATGGATCTTAAAATACTGAATTCAGAGAGCTGATACCTCAGAACTACTTGACTGCCGTGACAGAGACACTCTGACCTTTCTAGGCAAGGTCAGGTGGTAGAGCCCCTGCCTTGAGCCAAAACACCAAGCGAGAGCACAAGACTATATCTAAATATTCAAATACAATAGTGCACTTGACCCCAATTACATGGTCATTTAGTTAGTGATCTGGAAAATGGTTAAATTCCTAAATAAAACAAAAACTCAAGAATAACAGTGTTGAATTGTAAGGCCTGTTGAACTGAATGGTCCATGTTTACTGACTCCTAGAACTTGATAAGCTGATATGTTGAACAATTGATGTGCATTTCTAGGTAAAACAGGCTTGAAACAAGCCTATGATTTTTTTACTTTATCAATAGTATTGACTGTGTTTACCCAGAATATTCATTTTAATCTCCAAATGCCCCAAGTTCTAGCTAATACTCCAAGTCTAGCTACGTAGTCATCATATATGTAAAGAAAACACTAGATATGGGCTGGGGTGCGGAGGGGAGAGGCTGGTACTTCAATGTTCTACCTTGAGTCACCCTTCAGTCCAAAATCTGATTTTTTAGCAAATATAAAAGAATGACAAAATAACTTATTCATCAAGGAACCAATTTCATTTTTTTTTAAAAGCTAAATTTATTAAAGAAAAACTTAAAAACACTTATTCTAAACTTTCATTTCAAATAGGCCAGTTTATTTTTAGGTTCACAGAGGGAAGCTGAATGGTTTTCTCAACTTTTAGGACAAAGATAATAGTGCTCAATGAAAGCAGTAGGAGTAGTAGGATTATGCCACCAGAGCCCAGCAAAACAATAATCGTAGTAATAATCATAAAGTAAATAAAAGAATTAAAGAAGAAAGGCTCTTCTAAAAGGTATAGATTTTTTTAAGGTTTCTTACGTGATCCCAAAACTCCAAAACAGATGACCAGTAATAAGTCTTTACATTTCAATTTCTTTGTAATCTGCCAAATCCAAATATATTGATGTATCTAATAAAACATATTAGAAAGGAGGAGATAACATCTCACTAGTTGGATTACTTAAAGCATCCATAGATGTGAGATCCAACATCTGTCTGGCAAGAGCTGCATGGGTTATTTAAATGCCACAGAGATTCTCCAATCAGCCTACCTTAATTTTGTTGTATCTTGTATGCAAAAGTAGCAACTGCAAACGAATCTTTTCTTTCTCATTATCCTCCATGGGCTGATGTAATATGTGTTCGCCCCTCTGTAGAACTTCCTCAATCTGGGCTCCCTCCTCCTCCACCTGAATGTTTAAAGAAAACATTGGTACTCGAAAGGAATGGTGAGCATAATGCACAGGGTAACACTGATCAAGATGCACTGTACCCATACACTGATGGATGTGTTGACTTGAAACCCCTTTCTATAGTTAAAGACCATCTGAGAAAAACAGAAGAAGAAAAAAAAACATAGCACAATGAAACCTAGTTATCAGTTACCAGGTGGGAGAATTAATCTGTGAAATACAGTGCAATGAACCTGAGATATCAAATGTTGTGTGGATTTTCTTAAAATATTTTATATTTTAAGGACAATGTCCCACAGCTAGTTTCATATAAATTAGATTAAGAATCACCTTATGCCAGAAAGCATGCTGTGTGTGTGCACGCATGTGCAACTGTTAAGCATTACTTAACACTCAGAAAATCACATGTGTATTTTTTCAGTTACATAAGGCAGATTGTATCAGTAAACACTAGCATCATAAAGAAGAAAAGTAAGAACAGGGCTTGGAAAAGAGCCAACCTTTTCATTGTCATCTCTGGATTCCAACTGTTTTTCCACAACTTTCAACATATTGTCAATGTCATTTTCTAATTTTTCCATGTCTGAGACAGATACACCTGCATCCAATGTTTCTGTAGTGACCAGACCTTGGTATGATACTGGCTCCTGACCAATTAGCAACTGTGGAAGGAAAAGATACCTCTGAAGATGTATGTTACTTTGATTTTTCATAATTGATCAGAGAAATGAGGTGGCCAGAAAGGAATTAGCATGTACTTGAATTGACTTTAATTTTCATTCAATCTTATAGCAAAGATTTTACTAATCTGAGTTTCTCTGAATAGCCCATTTTCCAAATGCTAATCTGAAAATGAGGCAAGGTGATATGCAATGGCGGGGGGCTGTATGGAGCACGTTGTGTGGGCCAGGATTGCATGTAAGCAGAGCTGTGACCCAAACACCAGCCTGTTGTGGCCACAGAAAAGAAGAAAGGCTGCAATTATGGTCACTCCTGTTCAACGTTCCCTGACAATTCTCCTTGGGTTTTGATATTCAACTTTGAAAGAATACATTTTCTAAATGGTGTATTTTCAGATGCCTATAAAGGAAACCATAATATATATGTAAAAAATAGCATGGCGTGGCCAGGCACTGGTGGCTCACGCCTTGTATTCTCGCAACTCAGGAAGCTGAGATCTGAGGATCAAGTTTGCAAACCAGCCCTGGCAGGAAATTCCATCAGACTCTTATCTCCATTGAACTACTCAAAAAAAAGCTGAAAGTGGAACTGTGGCTTAAACAGTAGAGCATTAGCCTTGAGCACAAAGAGACTCAAGAACAGCACCCAGGTCCTGAGTTCAAGCCCCAGAACCAGCAAAAAATTAAAATAAAATAGCATGGTGGGCGACAAATAGCCCTGTCCCATCCTAATTGAAGTACCAGTTAGTACCTGCTTCCTATGGGACTACTTGGGAAATCTATCCACAGCCTCGCTATATACAGCTCCGCAACAATTTCAAGGAATCTTGAGAGTTACCAACATGTTAAAATCGATATACAAGATGATTTTAACAAATACAAAATCTATAAAAGCCCAATAAAAGGAGAAAATTCGCTGAGCAAATTATAACAAATCATATAACAGAATACTCTACAACTATTGAAAACTAGTTCAAAGGAGCACATACAAAACTCTACTGAACAATGACATTTTTATATGGGGGGGGACATGGATGAGGAAAATGTTTGCAAAGATTATTTATGGGGATGCTGGCAATTTCGTTTCTTTACACTTTCTATCATCCTATCCCTATGTACATTATGTTTTATTTTATACCAAGAAAAATCTTCAGTAGACCCACTGAAAACAGTAATACCAAACATTAAGGAGATGAGCTCAACATCAAGGAGGACAAAAAACAAAGCAAGTTTTTCACTTTCTTAAGTTTTGAATAATGTAAGTATGTTCCTAAACTATAAAAGAAAACTTGGTCTATGATATCAGATATTCTAAATAAAAGCTAAGTTAGATAAAAATCTGTTTTCTATGATAAATATTGATCCTTTCTCTTCGACTTCAATATGCAATGTGCTAGAGGTTAAATTAACTATGCAGTCCAAATATGCCATCCTATGGGTACAACTGAGCTTCTCAAAAATTCAAGATTTCTTTGAATGATCCCCTGAGGAGAGTAGGTATTTGTTTCTTCTCATTTTTCTGTGCCAGTACTGAGGCTTGAAAGCATGTCTTCAAGCTCTTATTTATCTTTTTGCTGATTATTTGGAGATCAGAGTCTCACTGATTTGTCCACATGGACTAACTTCTAAGGACAGTCCTCAGATGTCAGCCTCCTGAATAGATAGGATTACAGGCATGAGCAATCTGTGCCTGGCTGAACATCTAGCTTGAATAGCATCAACTCCAACTATGGTTTTCTTCCACCAAATCATCAAAATATTTTCATCTTTTCAATTAAGCATTTACTAGTGCTTGTCCTTGAAGCCAGGTCTTGGGAACACTAGTTAAATGTTTCCTTTGCTCCTCTTATAAAGTAAGGATGTAGAGACAGAAAGGGAAAGATAAGATGGGGAGGAGAAAAAGAGGGAGGGGACATAGGGAGGGAGAAAAGGGGAGTGGGAACGAGGGGGAACAAGAGGGAAAGAGAAATCAATCAAAACTAGGTAGGATAAACACCTTTCTGTAAAGAAAAGCTCTATTTATTATCCCCTTACATGAATTAATGAAGTTATTTTTTAAATATATAAAGTGAGGAAGTATATTTGTCCATAAAGTCTAAACTGTGAAGTTACTTAAGCTATCAAATTTATCAACCTGGGCTGGGAAGGTAGCTCAGTGGTAGAGTGCCTGCCTTGCATGCATGAGGCCCTGGGTTCAATTCTTCAGCACCACATAAGCAGAAAAAAAAAAAAAAAAAAGCCAGAAGTGGTGCTGTGGCTCTAATGGTAGAGCAATAGCCTTGAGCTGAAGAGATGAGGGACAGCACCCAGGCCCAGAGTTCAGGCCCCATGACCGGACCCCAAAAAAAAAAAAAGCTACAAATTTATCAACCTATGAAGCACAAAAAAATGCATGTTTAATATAAAAACCGATATTAAAGTGTGACTTATAAAATCAAGCATTTACGATTCATGTCCCTTTGGGGAATTAGTCTCATTATTTTTCAGCCAATTCTAATCTTCAGAAGGGTCTTTCCTCAAATGGGTTGTTTTTTCAACAGTAATTTCTTATCTTCTCTATATATATGCACAATCACAGGTAAGAGCCAACAATCCTTCAGTTAAAAAAAAGTGATTAAAATCTTTTTAATCAAAAAAATTCGGGAGGGAGAGAGAGGTTAAGGGAAAGTAAAGAAGAAAAATGGAGAGAAAAGGGGCGGGTAAGTATAGTGGTTACGTCAATGTACCTATGTTAAAATAGAACCAGGTAACTAACAAGGGAATGGGTGGCGTTGGGACAGATGGGGGATAGCGGAAGGAATGATACTGATCAAGATGAACTTATAAACTGACTTGCTAAACTAAAATCCCTTTGTACAACTACTTAAAGGTAATTTTAAAAATCAACAGTACACAAAAAGCCAACTCTTACGTATATAGTCTATTATTTTTCATCTAAGCCACATAACCAGGGGAAATGGTTTTTCTATAAAAATGTACTCACTCTCGCACTTCGGATGTGTTGAGACACCTTTTCAAAGTTTCTGTTCAGCTCAGCTAACTTTGGTTCCACCAGCTCTCTGCCAGCACTCCCCCGCGCGCTCATCAGAGCCATAGCCTGGTCACGAACGTTTCCTACCTGGAGGCTGGCATCATCCAGCTCAGAAATTAAACGCTAATTGTGGGAGGAAACAAAAGTGAATATGTGAAATTATCCCCACATGACAATAAAATCTAACCCAGGTGACAAGCTGACTCAGAGTTAAGGGGAGTTTTGGAAATAAGTGTAGTTGCTAGCAAAAGGCTCCTGCATGATCATTGCAGCAAGAGATGTTCAAACAAACTTCAGTGCAGAGCTCAGTTTTTCCTGCCAAAATAGATGCACAGGACAAGAATGTGTGCACAAGGACCCCAGAGCATCCACAAGTGAAGAGACTACAGCAAAATAGTCCATGTCCCAACTGTGATATTGAAGTCTGTTACCTTCACGATTTCTTCCCGTTTACTGGCTGGCTTTTTTTCAATCTCATCCAGCAGAGCTTCGGCTTGATAAAGCCAGGTACTTATGTGAGCAACATTCCCATCGAACACTTCCAGCTGGCGCTGGTGATTCTACAAAGGAATTAAGAAGACGCTGACACAATCATAGGAAAGATTTCAAGACCACATGGATGCTGTGTTTAAAGTGAGTTTCCACCTTCCTGCACAGCTCTTCTTCAGTCAATAGATCTCAGCCTGATCAATAGATCTCAGTCAATACATCTTAGCCTCGATGGCTAAAGCTCTGTTTCAAGGGATTTGATTTAGACCTGCACACAAGAGGAAGCTTAAAACAGAAGAGAAGATGAAGCTTCTTTTCCAATTTTATCTCTTCATCTCTTGTCCTGCCCACATACATTTGAGCTTATGTCATTAGTCACCCTTATTAATTGTGACTCTGGAAGGCATCTATAGAAATTGTAAGGTCTGAGTAACATTCTGCCCACTCAACAGCCCAGGGATGCTTCCCCTTGTTTCTTCTGCGCCACTAGTGCTTCCTGGCATAGGACATAAGTATGACTTCAGGAGAGAAAGCACCTCAAACAGGAACAAAGATTAAAACTAGTTAAGACAAAAAGTTACACCTCAGCCGGGCCCTGATGGCTCAAACCTGTCATCAGGAGACGAAAATCAGAGGATCGAGGTCAAAGCCAGCCTGGGCAGGAAAGTCCATGAGACTCTTGTCTCCAATTAACCACCAAAACAGCCAAAAGTTGAGCTTTGGCTCAAGTTGTAGAGCACTAGCCTTGAGCAAAACAGCTAAGGGACAATGCCCACGTCCTGAGTTCAAACCCAGGACCAACACAAAAAAAGAAAAAGTCAGACCTTGATCAAAAGGAGGATTATGATAAAATTGACAATGTCCCAGCACTGTGTCTCATGGGATAAAGGAAAGTATTTAAAGAGCTCAGAATTAAAGGAAATCAGTTATTACTATATAGTGGGAGTGATTAAAAAAAGAAGATTTCACCTAAGAAAAGATGTTAAGAAACATTTATATGTTTTAAAAAATTAAGATTTTATTGATTATAAATATATTGCACAGCTATTTATTAAAAGACTATATATAGAAAGCAATTATGTATGTACTATATGTAAGTTTATTTATTGAAATTTATGTGCTTTCTAAATTAAATATATTGAAATACCAAATTTTGTATGGAAATTGGTAAGTATTAAAATTATATGATTCAACATGTTTTATATACTACATATTAAAGCATACTAAATATTAAATTTTATGTATATGGGAAGTGAAGCTTACTGATATTACTAACATAATGAAGATACTAGCTTGTGAACTGGAAGATAAAGTCTGCAACCGGTCAGGAGTGTGTCAATGGCCTCTCCTACCCCACATATCTTAACTGACTTGAACAAATGCTTAAACACAGAGTAACATTTTTTATGTCTCTAGGGAGAGTTGTATAAAAGTCTGATACATTCTGATATGTCAGAACCAAAGAATAATTTGTAAATGATAAATCTATTCTGTGAGGAAGGGTAAAGGGGCTATACTCATTATCAGAAGGGGCCCAGAATAAGATTATGAAAATTATTGGTCAATTTCCAAGAAATAATTAGTAGTACAATGGTATTATACAGATTAATATACTGCCAGGCACTGGTGGCTCACACCTGTAATCCTAGCTACTAAGGAGGCTGCTATCTGAGGATCACGGTACAAAGCCAGCCCAGGCAGGAAAGTCCATGAGACTCTTATCTCCAATAAACCACCAGAAAACCAGAAGTGGCGCTATGGCTCAAGTGGTAGAGTG